GCTGGACGATTCATCGCCGCCCCTTCTGCGGGCGCTGCGGCTGGGCGCTTGCTGCCTCCTGACCTCCCAGGCGGTTGGATCCCGAGCTTATTCATGGCCGCGTTCCTCTCCGAGGTGAGGTTCGCCCGATCGATCTCCCCAGCGGCGTAGCGCATGGCAATGCCCTTCATGAGCTCGGCGGCCTTCACAACTGCAGGGTGCGCGTTGGGAGCCCTGTCCTTGTCGATGCCCTCGCCGAACAAGCGCGCCTGGACGTCGAGCACCTGTTTGCCTTGCTCCTTGAGGCTCAGGAGGAGCTTCCTGTCAACTCTCTGGTCGAGCACGAGTTTGTTCTTGGTCTGGGCGGCTTCTCCAATCCATAAGGGCTCCTCCTTCTCCTTCGCCTTCGAAGTGATCAGGGCCCGAAGCTGGCTGACCATCAGTCCTGGTATCGGATGGGAACTGCCGTCGGACCACTTGGCGACCACAATGTCGATGTCACCCTTGCCCTCCAGGTCCGTCCTTCCGAGTGATCGGCATCGATGCATGTTGCTTATCACCCTTCCGAGTCGAGCGCCAAGCCACCATGTGCTCCTCGAAGAACCCGAACTGCGTGTACTCGCCCGTCGTGGACATGGCACCCTCGGCGCCCTCGGACTCCTCCTCGTCGTCCACCTTCTCCTCCTCTTCGCCGCCCTCGTTGTCACCTGCCTCCTCGACCTCTGCCTCGTTCTCCCCATCCTCGCAAGCTTGTTCGCACGCTGCCTCGTCATCGTCCTCAGCTTCATCACCGTCCTGCTTGGTTGTCTTGACCTTCTTCTTCTTCTTCTTCTTCTTCTTCTTCTTCTTCTTCTTCTTCTTATTGGTGCACTTCTTGCTGGCAGAACCCTGGTGCCAAGGCAGCTCCAAGACCCAATCTGGCGGGTTGGTCTTCCTCTCTGCTTGCTGGACGACTCGACCAAGATTGCGAACCCTCTTCGTGCATGTTGTCGCCAAGTCCTTCTCCTCCGCTGGCGTCATCGACCACTTCGCCTTCTGGCTAGGGTATGCGAGCAACTTCTCCCGAATCAGCTACAACCCCTTCTCGAACGGCACCTGCGGGAACGATAGATTGTCCTGCATGTTTTTCAGCACCTGCAGCAAATCGTGCGCGCCAGCCACGCCGTGAGCCCCCTTGACGACGGTTTTCGCATTCTCGAGCCTCTCCTCCTCGCTGCCGTACTTGCAGAAGTTTCGACCGTGTTTCTTGATGAACTCTAGCAGGGCATCCTGCACATCCTCGGGCGCCCCTTTGTAGTTGGAACGCGCCGCGTCGGCGGCCATGCAAGTGTCTGAACACTCGCGGAGATGTTCCATGAACCCAAACCGCTGCGGAACATGAGCAACTGCTACATTGGCAGGTCGGAAACACACGCGTACAATGACGGCCACTCCGAATGAACATTCTCTGAAGTTTTCGGGGCCTGGGCAAGCGGAGGGGGAGGCGGAAAGAGGAAGGGCAGGGAAGGATGAATGGGGGAGGTAAGAACACGAAGACGACGTCAAAGTCGCGGGTGGGAAAAAGGAGGATTTGTGTTTTAGCGACGCCGAACTGCCAAGATACGTTTTGGCCAATCCACATTGAAGCGATACGCGCATGAGCAGCCCGATCTACATGGGTCTACTGTCCTTTTAACCTACCACAACCAAGGATCTGTTGTAGCAAGAGATATCTCTTGCAACAAGAGATAGGCCACAACAGCAACTTTGCCTCTTAAGACAAGAGGCGGTGGACCGCAGGGAACCTTGAGCGCCCCCCGGGCACCCCCCCTTGACCGCGTCTCGCGGCTGGGGGGGCGCCTCGGGGCACCTCGGTCTCAATCTTGACCGCCCCCCGGGCGCCCCCCTTGACCGCGTCTCGCGGCCGGGGGGGCGCCTCGGGACATCTCGGATTCAACCTTGAGCGCCCCCCGGGCCCTTCCCCTTGACCGCGTCTCGCGGCCGGGGGGGCGCCTCGGGACACCTCGGCCCGCGGCTTCAACCTTGAGCGCCCCCCGGGAACCCTCCCCTGACCGCGTCTCGCGGCCGGGGGGGCGCCTCGGGACACCTCGGTTTCAACCTTGAGCGCCCCCCGGGCACCCCCCCTTGACCGCGTCTCGCGGCCGGGGGGGCGCCTCGGGACAACTCGGTTTCAATTTTGAGCGCCCCCCGGGCACCCCCCCTTGACCGCGTCTCGCGGCCGGGGGGCGCCTCGGGACAACTCGGCTTGAATATTGAGCGCCCCCCGGGCACCCCCCCCTTGCCGTGTCTCGCGGCTGGGGGGCGCCTCGGGACACCATTGCTTCAACCTTGAACGCCCCCCTGGCCCCCCCCCTTGACCGCGTCTCGCGGCCGGGGGGGCACCTCGGAACACCATTGCTTCAACCTTGAACGCCGCCCGGGCACCCCCCTTGACCGCGTCTCGCGGCCGGGGGAGCACCTCGGGAAACCCCGGGGGGAAGCGAAATGCGGCTGGCGGCGGGGCGGGCCACAAATGGCCCACTGGCAAAGCCCGGGGAACAATCGAAAAAAATTAACAGTGGGCGGGGGGGGGGGGGGGGCGATAACCGATATGCAGCCCCCCCCCCCACCCCCGAACGCAGAGCGCTTAATGAGGCCGTCCCCCACCGAAAAGGCGCCCGCCCCGTGCGCCCCCCCACAACCCGTCCAATGGATGCATGCCGTTTTGCAGCTCTCGTCGAACCTGCTGCTTGGAGGGGGGGGCGAGGTGGTGCCTGTAAACGCTCTGCGCCCGTGCCCCCCTGAGCACCCCCCCGGACCTGGCGTTGGTTCCCAGGTTCGGGGGCGGCTGCCTAAGGGGGAAGCACGACCCCACGGGGTCACCAGGCAACGCCCCCTGTGGGTTCCTGGTTCCCCGATGAGGTCATGCACCCACTCAAATAGAGAAGAGAAGACGAAGTGCCCGACGCGACCCGGAGGCAAGGTATGGAAGGAGGTGGAGCTTCTGACCTACAACCCAGGCTCAACCGAAGCGGCGGCAGCGACGGCGGCGGGGGCCGAACCGACGATCGAAGTTCGAGGAAGATGAAAAGCGAGGCCCTGGGGAGGGTGGGGGCCCTCCCCAAAAAACGGCGTGTTAGGGGTCCCGGTGTTTCCACCGGCTATCATGAGGTCGCGTCTGCGGTCTGTGAGCTGGATTTGGGATCTTGTAGGTATTGCCAGAGCGTTGACCATTTGAGATTCGAACTGATCTCGGCCATATTGACCTTCTCTTGGGGCCCTCGTGAGACCTGGGGCCCAATCCGCCGACCCTGTCGGCGTGTGGAAGACGCCCTTCCTGCCCTTCCCTTTTCACGCATGATGCTCGGGATCCCCGTCCCCGTACGAATGTCCCTTCCCGTTACGAATGCGAATCCTCCTCCTCCTCCTCCTCCTCCTCCTCCTCCTCCTCTTCGTCCTCCCCCTCCTCCACCTCCTCCTCCTCCTCCTTCTCCTCCCCCTCCTCCTCCTGCTGCTCCTCGTCCTCCTCGTCCTCGTCTCCAGTTCCTCGTATTTCTTCCCCCCCTCCCCCTTCCTAGGGCACGAACCCGAAGGCACGAACTGCCAGCGACGACGAATCGCAGCAGGCAGAGCACGCGGGACTTGGGAGTGTCGACGGCGAAAGAAGCGTCCGACGCCCGGTGTCGCATCCCAGGGAGGGCTGTGATGGACCCAAGTCTGAATCGATGCTCCCGTGAGCCTCTCAGGCAATATCGTGTAGGAAATGTATGTGAGGCCTCTGTGGCGCTCTGAAGGGTCTCGAGGGAGGCCTCCATCTCGGAACCGATGTCTTTGGAAACCGCTGTGGAAACATCGTTTAAGGTGTAGACGCGTGGCCCCTGAGAGGGTTCTCTGGGCCTCTCGGAAGCCTCAAGAGTTTTTGGCTCGTACTGCCACCGTGCCAGGATTGTGGCCAGAGGCGTGTCACACCTGGTTGGGATATCTTGGCGTGCTGCTCGGGTGCCTCTTGGTAGAGCGAATTTTTCCAGCCTTTTTTGGGTTCTGAGAGACTGGAGAGGCGAGAACGCGTAAACATCAGAAAACCACACAGAGTGGCATGATTGGGCCTTCTTGGCGGCGCTCTTGGGGTCTTTTGGGGCTCGTATGGGGCCCTCGAAGGCCGTCCGGAGCGCTATTGGGCAGACTTGGGAGGCCGGGGCCGTCTTGGGGCTCTCTTGGGGCCCTGGTGGGCCCTCTTGGGAGTCTCCTGTGGCTCGCGCAGGGCTCTCTTGGGAGCCTTTTGGGCCCTTTGAGGCCGCTCTTGGGCCGTCATGGGGCCCTCCTGGGCCGTCTTGGTGCTCTCTTGGGCCGTTTTGGGGCCCTCTTGGGGCCTCGGGCCGGCTTGGGAGGATCTAGGGGGCTTCTTGGGACGTCTTGGACGCTCTCGAGACCAAACAAGCGAATATGCAAAAAATGTACGTTTTCCGGAAGGAATGTGCCAATGTTTGCTTCGTGGGGGTCCTCGTTGGGGCCTCTTGGGGTGTTTTCGGGGCCTCTTGGGCCGTCTTGAAACCATCTAGGGCACTGGGAAGTCATCTTGACCAGTCCTGGGGACCCTTTGTGGCGCTTTCGGGTGCTCTTGGCAACCTCTTGGGCAGTCTGGAAGCCATCGTGGGCGCTCTTGGAGCGTCCCAAGGGCTGTCTTGAGCGGCCGGGGAGCGGCCGAGGAGGCCCCAGGGGGGGGTGGACCCAGATTGGGGGTTCGAGGCCGCGGTTTCCAGGCCCCGATTTCCTCCCCCGGGTAGATGTATGATTATATATATATATATATATGTATATACACATACATACACATATGTACATATATATATATATATATCCAGGCCCATATCCATATCCATATCCAGTGCGTCTTGGACTGTTTTGGAAGGGGCGCCACAAGGACGAGGCGCACTGGATATGGATCAAATCTATCCATATTCAGTGCGCCTCGGATTTCTGGGGAGGGGAGCCCGAAACTCCATACTGCAGCGGATATGGACAGAAGAATTGCCCGCATCAGCCCGCTCTTCCAGATCATCATCTTGGGGAGCCCGAAGTCCTTTGAGCAGGGACCGACCGTCTCGGCAGTCCTACAGTCCTACCACGAAATTTTCTTAGAACCCAAGAATGTTCTAAGAACAAAAACGATGTTCTTAGAACATTAGCCCATGTGTTAAAACGAGACAGTCTCAGCCAGAAATGTTCCGAGAACATTTCGTGGAAACCATAACATGTTCTTAGAACATTGTTTGGTAGGCCTGTGGGCGAGCCAGGGCGCTTCGGCACTGCTTGAGTCCTTCTCCCGGCACAGCAGCACGCACTCGCTCGGCAGCCCGTCGCGGCCGGCGCGGCCCATCTCCTGGTAGTATGCCTCCATGCTCTGGGGGGGGCCGTAATGTACCACCCGCCGGATGTTCGGCTTATCGATGCCCATCCCGAAAGCCACGGTGGCGACGACCACAGGGGCCGCGCCCGTGTGGAAGGCATGGTGAGCCGCATCGCGCGCCTTGCGGGGCATGCCCGCGTGGTAGAAGACCACGGCGTCGGGCTGTTCGACTCCAGCGAGGCCGCCCTGCAACAGTTCGGCGATCCTCTCCGCGAGCACTCGGGTGGGGCTGTAGACGATGGTGGGCTTGATGCCTTCGGGGGAGCGGGCCTCATCGCAAATGTCGCGCAGCAAGAAGTCGAGGTCCTGGCGCATGTGCCGGGAGCCTCGTCCCTTGGGCATGACCTTCATGAACAAGTTGGGTCGATTGAAAGAGCCCTGGTCCATGTGCGGGTCCCTGAGGCACAAGCTCCGGACGACATCCTCGCGGACTCTGGGTGTCGCGGTTGCAGTCAGGGCCATCAATGGTATGCCTGGCAGTTCATCGCGGATGAGACCGAGAACCGAGTACTTCCTACGAAAGGAGTGGCCCCACTGGGACACGCAGTGGGCCTCGTCCACGGCCACCAGCTGCAAGATGCCTCGCGCGGATAGATCCTGCAGGTCGCCGAGGGTGGTACCATTCAACAACCTTTCAGGTGCCATGTACACCAATCGGTACTCTCCGCCCATGACCCGAGCATACACCTTTTTGTCACCCTTGGCCGAACTCAACAGCGCGGCAACGGGCTGCGTCCCAAGGCCCACCTTCTTGTTGATCTGAATGCACTGGTCCTGCATCAATGAGATGAGCGGTGAAATCACTACAACGCAGCGGCTATCCGAGAGGAAGGCCGGGACCTTTTACCGCGGTCGCATGGACATCCGAAACTCAGAGGCTGAGAGGCGCGGGGACAATCAACCGAAACAGCATGGTGTGCTGTACCCTCGTAGGGGAACGCGCATGTACTCCTCAGATCTCTCCTGGGGTTCCTCCTGACCAGGAAGCCGAGGCGAACTCGGCCGTGGAGAGGAGGCCGGCCAAAGGGGCCACAGACATGGGAAGCCACTAAGGACATTGTTCTCGCTTGGCCCCGCCCTCCAACGACGACGATGACGATAACGACAACGATCCGTGGTTTTCTCCTGCTGTTGTCGTTATCGTTATCGTTATCGTTGCCCCCCAGCCCGTGCGGTGGCCAGCTGACCGTGCGGACCTGGTAGCAGAGGGACTTGCCGGAGCCCGTCGACCGCAAGACGCACACGTCGCGCCCTGCTAGGGCGGCCTCGATGACCGCTTCCTGGCCGTCGCGGAAGTCGCTGAGGCCGAACACATCCCTCAGGACCTGCCTGGTGATAAGCAATGAAAGTGTCCCTAACCCTTTGGGAGGGGACCTAAGTTTGGAGGGCCAGCAACATTAGGGATAGGGGGTCTTTTCTGCAGATGTGTCAGGCCAAACCGCCCACATGTATGATCCCTAATGCGACAACGGGGACCTCAGTGGGGCCACGTCTTCACCATGTTGGAAGGGTAGGGGCTCTTTTATCCTCGATGACCTTGGGCTGGCGTCCTTGGAGGCGGCCCACCTCGGCAATGCCTCGGCCAGCCCAAGAACTCCAACGTAGCCGCTGTGCTTCGGGATGCAGCCCCCTGGAGCTATCGACCCCTTCACTGGCGATGGGCTTTCCATGCTGAATCTTGGGGAATGGTTGAGACATTGATTGCTGCCCGGACAAGGACGGGGGCGGAGAAGGAGGCGGAGGGAGGAGGAGGAGAGGGAGGGAAGAGCGCATAGAGGGAGGATGAGGGACGCCAACGCATCGACTGACCCTCGTTTGAGAATCGCTTTCTGGCGGCCCTAGGGGCTGGGAAACAGCGCCCCCGATCCTGGCGGACATCAACGGGAGGAAACTCAACGTGGGGGCAGACAGGATGCAGGAACGATGCCCTTATGTGGCGCTCCAGATAGAGCCCCTGAGCTGGCCACCAGCTCAAATTATCCTGGCGAAGGACCAAGCCATATTCAGTTGTGAGTAACGCATTGTGGGTGCCGTTATCGGTGGGACACGACACGCGTGAGGGGCGCGCCGTAATGGGTGTGGCGGACGCGTGCGGGCACCCCCACTGGGGCCTTCGGTGGAGTCCCTATGGGGCCACGAAACGCTGTGCTGGGTGTGGCGGACGCATGCAGGCACCCCCACTGGGGCCTTCAGTGGAGCTCCCTATGGGGCCACGAAACGCTGTGCTGGGTGTGGCGGACGCATGCGGGCACCCCCACTGGGGCCTTCGGTGGATCTCCCTATGGGGCCACGAAGCGCTGTGCTGGGTGTGGCGGACGCATGCGGGCACCCCCACTGGGGCCTTCGGTGGAGCTCTCTATGGGGCCACGAAACGCTGTGCTGGGTGTGGCGGACGCATGCGGGCACCCCCACTGGGGCCTTCGGTGGAGCTCCCTGTGGGGCCACGAAACGCTGTGCTGGGTGTGGCGGACGCATGCGGGCACCCCCACTGGGGCCTTTGGTGGAGCTCCCCATGGGGCCACGAAACGCTGTGCTGGGTGTGGCGCATGCGGGCACCCCACTGGCGCCTTCGGTGGAGCTCCCTATGGGGCCACGAAGCGCTGTGCTGGGTGTGGCTGGCGCATGCGGGCACCCCCACTGGGGCCCTCGGTGGAGCTCCCTATGGGACCACGAAACGCTGTGCTGAGTGTGGCTGACGCATGCGGGCACCCCCACTGGGGCCTTCGGTGGAGCTCCGTATGGGGCCACGAAACGCTGTGCTGAGTGTGGCGGACGCATGCGGGCACCCCCACTGGGGCCTTCGGTGAAGCTCCCCACGGGGCCACGAAACGCTGTGCTGGGTGTGGCGGACGCATGCGGGCACCCCCACTGGGGCCTTCGGTGGAGCTCTCCATGGGGCCACGAAACGCTGTGCTGGGTGTGGCGGACGCCTGCGGGCACCCCCACTGGGGCCTTCGGTGGAGCTCTCTATGGGGACACGAAACGCTGTGATGGGTGTGGCGGGCGCATGCGGGCACCCCCATTGGGGCCTTCGGTGGAGCTCCCTATGGGGCCACGAAACGCTGTGCTGGGTGTGGCGGACGCATGCGGGCACCCCGGTGGAGCTCACTATGGGGCCACGAAGCGCTGTGCTGGGTGTGGCGGACGCATGCGGGCACCCCCACTGGAGCCGTCGGTTGAGCTCCCTATGGGGCCACGAAACGTGTGAGGGGTGTACCGAAAGGGGTGATGATGACGATCATGACGATGATGGCGATGATGATGATGGGGATGGTGATGATGACGTCGATGGTGATGATGATGGTGATGATGATGATGCTGATGATGGTGATGATGATGGTGATGATGCATTACCTTCCGATCGGCGGACGCCGAAAACTGCTAAGAAACCTCTGGCACGATCTGTGGAGGCATGGCAAGTGGAACCAGAGTAGATGGGGTCGGATAATTGCATCGCGTCGCCGATGAATCGCAGCTTCGCAAAGGCGAAGACGGTGCCATGATGTGCGATAGGTGCAGGATGCGTCCCATGTGTGCCGGAGTCTTTGACGCCCGTCGCGAGTCCGCTCGGAACAGCAAGGAAACTTCGAAATCTGACTCGAGACTTAGCATGAAGCAACCGCACCCCGAGGAAAAACAAGCCCTAGACCCCGGGGCCTTCGCCAAAGACCAGCTCTTCGGCCCGAACCGTTCCATTCCGACGGCCCCGGAGGCCCGTGGAGGGACGTGGGGAGCCGGACACGGCGAGGAACCTCGGGACTCGTTTCCCTCAGGACCCGCTTGCTGCACGGTGAGCACACCTAGAAGAAGAAGAAGAAGAAGAAGAAGAAGAAGAAGAATCTAGATAAACGTAAGTTTTGGCGCTCCAATCTTGGATCTGCGATGGACCCCCCTCCCTAGCGCGCGGAGCGCGCCAAGGGCGGCGCCGGAGGCGCCGCCGGGGACCCAGCGCGGATCCAAGAAATTCGCGCGGAGCGCCGACTGTTTATGTTTATGGCCTCTCCCTTCTTCAAATACCACTGCCACTACTCTGAGGGACAACGGTGGGGGGGGGACTGGCACAGGGGGGGGGGAAACATCGACCTGGAATCGGCGATGCATCGTGGACAACTCGGCGATAGGCCCCCCGTGGTGAATGCCCGCTTTCCTGGGTGGGGGTGTGGATTATTGGTCCCCTATCTCGGGGGCGCGCAAACATGGATTAGCGATCCGTGGATTTGGCGCGCGGTCGACTAATCCATGGATCGGGGGAGGTGCCCCCCCCCAGAATGCGGCTGGTGCCGCCTCGCTCGGCGGCGGGAATCCGCGATTCCCCATGGAAACGGGACCCTTCGCTAATCCACGCCCCCTCAATCCATGTTTGCGATCGCCTGACTATTGGCGATGAATGGACAATGGGTGGTCGATGGGTGGACGATGGGTGGTCGATGGCCTTTAGGCACGCCAGGACGCTTCGCCACTGCTTGAGTGGTCGATGCCCTTTCCCCCCCCCACGTGCCCACCCCCCACTGGCGCTGCCCCTGACACCCCCCTGCCACTCTGACACGAGCTTGCCATCGCTCGGACGTCCGCCCCCCGCGCGTTTTCCTGTTTCGTGCGCTCAGTTTCAGTATCGCGTAACTGATCCCCATCCCCAGCGGCGTGGCCTGGGCCCCACTGGCCGATTTACCCCCCTAGATGGGGATATAGGCCGTTCCCTTCGGGTTTCGAGGAGTGTATCCCCAACTGGGGGGGTAATTTGGTGGGAGCTTCGAAGGGGATGAGGATGGGGATGGGGATTGGTTAAACGAGACCGACATTTTGTCGCGAGACGAACCAGGATCAAAACGAAGCCCATACGAGGATGCATTTGGACGAGGACAAATCGGAAATCTCTGCGATCCGGCGACTTGGGCGGATGCCTCGGGCGCCGCGGCCTACTCGGAGCGCTCCGGAACGCTCGGGGAGCCTTCCAGAACGCTCTGGAATGGTTTTGTATCCTCGTCCCGGCCCCGTCCGAAGGTTGCTCCTCGATGGTCTTCGCCGGGGAAAATTATCCTGGCGAAGGACCCAACCATATGCAATTGTGAGTACCGCAGTTGTGAATATCTTCTTCGGTGGAGCCCCCTACGGGGCCACGAAACGTACGAGGGGTGTGCCGAAATGGGTGTGCGGGACGCATGCGGGCACACCCACTGGGGCCTTCGGTGGAGCTCCCTATGGGACCACAAAACGTGCGAGGGGTCACGAAACGCGTGAGGGCTGTGCCGAAATGAGTGTGCGGGACGCATGTGGGCACACCCACTGGGGCCTTCGGCGGAGCTCCCTTTGGGGCCACGAAACGTGTGAAGGGTATGCCGACATGGGTGTGCGGGACGCATGCGGGCGGTAGCACTGGGACCTTCGGTGGAACCACCCTCCGGGGCCACGAAACGTGCGAGGGGTGTGCCAAAATGGATGTGCGGGACGCATGCGGGCACACCCATTGCGGCCTTCGGTGGAGCTCCCTATGGGACCACGAAACGTGTGAGGGGTCACGAAACGCGTGAGGGGTGTGCCGAAATGGATGTGCGGGACGCGTGCGGGCACACCCACTGGGGCCTTCGGTGGAGCTCCCTATGGGGCCACGAAACGTGTGAAGGGTATGCCGACATGGGTGTGCGGGACGCATTCCCTATGGGGCCACGAAGCGCGTGAGGGGTGTGCCCAAATGGGTGTGCGGGACGCATGCGGGCGGCAGCACTCTGGGGCCTTCGGTGGACCTCCCTATGGGGCCACGAAACGTGTGAGGGGTGTGCCGAAATGAATGTGCGGGACGCATGCGGGCGGCAGCACTGGGGCCTTCGGCGGAGCTCCCTTTGGGGCCACGAAACGTGTGAGGGTGTGCCGATTTGGGTGTGCGTGACGCATGCGGGCGGCAGCACTGGGGCCTTCGGCGGAGCTCCCTATGGGGCCACGAAACGTGTGAGGGGTGTGCCGAATTGGGTGTGCGTGACGCATGCGGGCGGCAGCACTGGGGCCTTCGGCGGAGCTCCCTTTGGGGCTCCCGACGTGTGAGGGGTGTGAGGGGTGTGCCGAATTGGGTGTGCGTGACGCATGCGGGCGGCAGCACTGGGGCCTTCGGCGGAGCTCCCTATGGGGCCACGAAACGTGTGAGGGGTGTGCCGAATTGGGTGTGCGTGACGCATGCGGGCGGCAGCACTGGGGCCTTCGGCGGAGCTCCCTATGGGGCCACGAAACGTGTGAGGGGTGTGCCGAATTGGGTGTGGGTGACGCATGCGGGCGGCAGCACTGGGGCCTTCGGCGGAGCTCCTATGGGGCCACGAAACGTGTGAGGGGTGTGCCGAATTGGGTGTGGGTGACGCATGCGGGCGGCAGCACTGGGGCCTTCGGCGGAGCTCCCTATGGGGCCACGAAACGTGTGAGGGGTGTGCCGAATTGGGTGTGGGTGACGCATGCGGGCGGCAGCACTGGGGCCTTCGGCGGAGCTCCTATGGGGCCACGAAACGTGTGAGGGGTGTGCCGAATTGGGTGTGGGTGACGCATGCGGGCGGCAGCACTGGGCCTTCGGCGGAGCTCCTATGGGGCCACGAAACGTGTGAGGGGTGTGCCGAATTGGGTGTGGGTGACGCATGCGGGCGGCAGCACTGGGGCCTTCGGCGGAGCTCCTATGGGGCCACGAAACGTGTG